AATCCCGCAGATCCCGAATCCTGCAGATCCCGAATCCCGAATCCCGGAATCCCGAATCCCGGAATCCCGCAGATCCCGAATCCTGCAGCTCTGGAATCCCGCAGCTCCCGAATCCCGAATCCCGGAATCCCGCAGCTCCGGAATCCCGCAGATCCCGAATCCCGGAATCCCGAATCCCGGAATCCCGCAGCTCCCAAATCCCGGAATCCCGCAGCTCCCGAATCCCGCAGCCCCGTGCGCCCCGGGAGGGGAACCCGCGTGTTTGGGGCTTCAGGGGGTAATTGGGTTTTTTTTAATATTTTTTTAATGCAGGGATTCCATGGAGTGTGTTCCCCCGCCGCAAAAAATTATAAATAATAAATGTATGGATTGCAAAAGGTTTGTTCCCCCAAAAAATAATAAATAATAAATGTATGGATTGCAAAAGGTTTGTTCCCCAAAAAATAATAAATAATAAATGTATGGATTCCAAAAGGTTTGTTCCCCCAAAAATTATAAATAATAAATGTATGGATTGCAAAAGGTTTGTTCCCCAAAAGAAATAATAAGTAATAAATACAATAAAAATTAAATAAAAATTAAAAATTAATAAATAATAAATGTATGGATTCCAAAAGGTTTGTTCCCCCCCAAAAATAAAAAAGAAATAATAAATAATAAATTAAATAAAAATAAAAATTAAAAAATAATAAATAATAAATGTATGGATTCCATGGGGTGGGATATTTCACCGGGATGAATTTGGAATAATTGGGATTAAATTTGAAAAAATTGGGATATTTCACTGGGATAAATTTGGGATATTTCACTGGGATAAATGTGGGATTCAATTTGGGATAATTAGGATTACATTTGGAAAATCTGGGATATTTGTGGGATATTTCACTGGGATAAATTTGGGATATTTCACCGGGATAAATTTAGGATATTTCACCGGGATAAATTGCGAATAATTGGGATTATATTTGGAAAATTCGGGATATTTCACCAGGATAAATTTGGGATATTTCACTGGGATAAATTTGGGATATTTCACCGGGATAAATTTGGGATATTTCACC